CTGGTTCCCCCCAAGCCTTTCTATAGGCATTTATTGATTGATTGATTAAGATATTTGCCATAGGCATGTGTACTCGCCAGAGAGAGATGAGTAGAGACAGAGAGAAAGTGAGAAACCATTCCCCGGAGGGTAGGGGGGAACACCACATCACAATTCCTTCCTCTCCATTTTCCTCTCAAGATTTTTGGCATACATGCACATGTGCCTGGCATGTTTTTCAAGCCTCTAGGGCTTGAACCGCCATGTTGGCCATGTGGGATCTAGTGCCTTAACCACGACACCACCAGCTGGGCCCTCTTTAGACATCTTAATACTATTTAGTAGGCTGTGGAGTTCTTTTATTCTCAATAAACTATAGTTACTAGACCTGGTTTTCTTGATCTTAAAGTTCTTTTGCTACTTAATGTCATCTATTATAAGTTGAATTTGTAAGTTTAGGACCAGGCACTTGGAGGTGCCTCCTTGATATGGATGGCCTCCTTGTACCAACGTCCAGGACAGCTGCTACTCTTAGGGCACTGCGCTTGACAGAGACAGCTGAGAGACAGGGCCTCCTGTGGACAGGCCCGGGCCCTTCCTGCCCCAAGTGCTGGGACCAAAAGTTACGCGGCACGTGCTGTTTAGTCGTATGGGAAGGAAATACATGTTCGGGCACTGCCTACTCCCCGATTGAATACTCAGGCTGACCTTGTTAAATGCAGGGAAACGGGGAGCGAGAGCAGGCAGTTTGCCTGAGGCACGTTCCTGGAAAACACTTTGTTTCAAACACTTACCTGTCTAATTGAAAGGCTTGTGCTTTTTTTCTTATTAGTAAAGATTATTTCATAGTTTTCATTATAGATGTAAAGTGTGTCCATTATTTAAAGTCTGGGGGAAAGAAAAAAGAAAAGTGGAAAGAAAATAAAATGATTCATCGTCTCCCTCCAGGGAGATAGCCATTGTTAACAGAAGCCCACGTATATTTGATTTCACACACTACTTTGAATTCTCTTTAGTTTGCTGTCAAAAACATCACCTGAGGGCCAGCAGGTGGTGTGATTGTTAAGGCACTGGACTCCCACATTGCTGACTGTGGTTCGAGTCCCGGACCTGGTGGCTTGCTTTTTCACTTTCCCTCTGTTTCTCTGGTTAAATTAAAAACAAAAAAATTCAAGAATTTATTTATTTATTTATTTATTTTTAATTTGACCACAGAGGGAGGGAAGAAGGAGAGAGGGGGGGGGGAGAGAGAGAGAGAGAAAGAAAGCTACCAGGTCCGGGACTTGAACCGTGGTTGGCTGTGTGGGAGTCCAGTTCCCTTAATCACCACACCACCTGCTGGCCTCTTATTTGCCTATTTTAATGATTTCTTTTGTAAACCAAGTGCCTAGTAGTCAAGGCATGTTTGGTCCCTGCCGTGTAACCAGCACAGCACTGCGTTTCTTGTGTGATGGACGGAAGGGCCCTGATTGCCACGTCTCAGTGGTGGTTCTTTCTTCCACAGAGCATCCCAGCTTTTGCTTGGACACTTCCAGTGATGAGGAGTGCTCCCTCACAGGGGCTGCTATGGTTCTGGTTCTTGGCCCAGCTGCAGTGGTACAGGTGGTAGGGTCTTTCTGCACAGTGTGGGAAGGCCCGGGGTTTGCATCCCAGATCAGCTCGAACACGGCAGGTACACTTGTGATCCTGGCTAGTGCAAGGCCGAGGGGAAGACTTCAGCATCACAAGACTGTCAGGGATCCTTCTCTTTCTCTTTTATCCCTCTTGTATGGAAGAAATTGATCGGGACCAGCAGATGGCGTCATGGTTATGTTGCTAGACTCCCGTAGTCAGCCGTAGTTTGCATCCCAGACATGACGGGTTAAAACTCACACCAGGTGCGTATGTGTACGTGCCCAAAATCCCAAGAGGAAAATGGAGGAGACAGGATTGCGGTGTGGCCATCCCCCTGGGGGGGGTGTGATTTGTTGCTTTCTATGTCTCTTGTCTCTCTGTCTCTCCAGCAAGTACACATGCCCTATAGCAAAAATATCTCTTAAAAAAAAAAAGAAGGAAAAAAAAAAGTCCCGCCCCGCCTCCGTGGCAGTCAGGAACTTACCAAACTGTTGAGCTGGAAGCCACGTGCCAACTGCAGTTCAAGTGCCTGGTTCGAAAGGCCTGAGAACACTCGGGGTACCTGCACACTTGCCCGAGGCCCTGGCAGGGCTGCGGGACGAGAGGAAGGGCAGGCAGTGTGACCCTCTCTCGCTCTCCTTTGCACTTGTGTACATGGACATGTTCTATCATGAGTTAAATAAATTAAGGAAAGGGGCCAGTCTCTCAGGAGACCCAGTCTCAGAGACATAAGACAAAAGACATGAAATAACTGGTGGCGCAAAATAACGTTTAATTAAATGAAGATACCGACTTGCAGAGCGTGGGGATAGCAAGAGCAGGGAGAAAGAAGGGAGCTCTGTTTGTTGAGCTTAGCTCTGTGTTTGGCCAGGGGCTTCCATGTCTTAGTATAGCAGGCCAGCCCTGTGGCCTGGTGGGTAAGAGACCAGGTCTCGGGGCTGGCCGCTGGCATGGTGGTTGAGAGCGCTGGACTCCCCCTGATCAGCTGCAGTTCAGTTCCCAGACCTGACGACTTGCTTTCTCACGTTCCTACTCTCTCTCACTCTGTCTCTTTCTGGTCAAATTAAAATAAATTAAATTGAAATAAGTTAAATTAAAAAAAAAAAAAAAACTGAAGAGCCCGATCTCACATGGCTGGATGTGAACTTTGAGTTCCTAGTGGCTTGAAAAATAGCCCTGGTTTCCACGTGTTCATGCCCCAGATCCCGACGGGATGGAGAAATGGAGGCAGAGGGATTGTGGTGTGACTATACCCCATTTGTGGACACTTTCTTCCTCTCTCTGTCCCTCTTTAGTGAGCACCCTCTGGACCAAAAAAAAAAAAAAAAAAATTAGCATAGTGTGGCTGGCTGGTGGCACCGGACTCCCACATGGTCGACTGTGGTTTGAGTCCTGGATCTGGTGGCTTGCTTTCTCACTTTCACTCCCTCTGTCTTTCTGTCTGTCTCTCTCAAGACAAATTAAATAATAATAATGATGATGAATAAAATTAAATAAAATCATTCTTTAAATATTAGCGTAGTGATCTCGACAGGGTAGTAGGTTGTATTCCCACTTTACAGATGTGGTGTCTGAGCTGCTACCGGTCAAGCTGGTGCCCAGACTCAGGGGAGTGTGGGGTCAGAGCATAAACACTCACCTCTCTTGCCCTGCCATCTCTCTAAACTAGGTCTTGTGCTGTATTTTGGAGCTTTCTTAAAATAGCCTCTTTTCTTATTATAAAAATGTACATTGGCCCAGCCACTGTGGTGCAGGTAGTGAGTGCCGCCGTGTGACAGTGGGCATCTGGGGAGGCCTGGGCTTGGGTCCCGAGGTGAACTGAACATGTTCAGTGTACCTTCAGCATGCCAGTGGTCCCGGCCTCCCGGAGGGCAGGGAGAGGATTGCTGCGTGTGGTACCTCACCGAGGGTGCCTGTCTCTCTCCTTCTCATGAAAGAAAGAGAAGCCCCCCCCCCCCAAAAGAAACAAAAAAAAACCCCCCCCCCCCCAAAAGAAAACAAAAACCAAAAAACACTGCAATGTCCAAAATTTGGAAAACATAGAAATCACCTGTTATGCTACCATTAGGAGAGAACTATGATTACTAGTTTGCTGTATTTCTCCATATAGATGTGTATATATGCATTTGTACATATATGCACATGTATGCATATATGTATGTACATATATATACTTAAACATGTACTGTGTATATAATTTATATCATATAGATATACACATACATTTCTATGTTACTTAAATTTTCTAAAGCATACTTTTTTATTTTTTTAATTACAGCATATCTTTTTATTATTTTGTTTGTTTTAAGAGAGGTTTTTTGCTATTGGGTATGCATGCTCGCTGGAAAGATAGAGACAGACAGACAGACAGTGAGAAATCACCCCCCTCAAGGGAGATGGCCACACCGCAGTCCCTTCTCCTCTATTCTCCTCTTGGGATTTTGGGCACACATGCACACGCATCTGGGGTGAGTTAAGCCACCGGGTCAGCTCACTATGTGGGAGTCCAGTGATGTAACCATTACACCATCTGCTGGTCCCAAAGCATACCTTTTTTTTTTTCTTTTTTTTTGGAGAGGTTTTTTCGCGATAGGGCGTGTGCATTCGCCAGACGGACAGAGAGAGACATAGAGACAGAAAGCGAGAAATCACCCCCCAGGGGGGATGGTCACGCCGCAATCCCTTCTCCTCCATTCTCCTCTCGGGATCTTGGGCCCGCGCGCACAGGCGCCCGACCTGAGTTTTAAGCCACCGGGTCCAGGACGCGAACCGCAGTCGACTACGTGGGAGTCCAGCGACATAGCCATTACGCTAACTGCTGGTTCCCCCAAAGCATACCTTTTTAAATGCTACAAATTCTATCCTGAATATGTTCTGCAAATATAATCTGTCAATCCCTTATCAGAGTTTAAATTCTTGATAACTTTTTGCTTTACCACATTTACCATATTTTAATAAACGTACTTCTGTAATAAAAAGTTTGGTATATGAATCTCTGGTAACTCCCTGTCAAGTAGTATGTGTGTTTTGAGACTTTTGATTCAACACTGACATCCAGGAGTTACGGGTATTCCCTCTAGTGACAGTGTATGAGGACACAGTTTTAGTGACTCTCCTTGGTCCTGAGCAGCATGATTGAAAACAACCAATCAAACAAGTAAACTGCTTTTCTTCCTTTTTCTTTTCTTCTTCTTTTCTTTTTTTTTTTTTTTTTGGTTTGATGGGGGGAAAATAAGCTCTCATGGTTTTCATTTGCATTTCTTTGACAAGGAAGATGAACCATGGAGTGGTCTTCTAAAGTGCTGCCCGCCTGTCCTCCTCTGCTCAGGGCCATGATGGATGGATGGAGAAGGGATTAAAAGGCTTCCCCTATTTATGCTAAATTACTGCGTGTCATCTTTTGCCAGATCTCTGACATTTACATTAGTGGGGAGTCAGGGGACATGTCAGCCAAGGAGAAACTGCTTCTGTGGACCCAGAAGGTGACAGCTGGTTACACGGGAATCAAATGCACCAACTTCTCCTCCTGCTGGAGTGATGGGAAGATGTTCAATGCACTTATTCACCGATACAGGTGAGCACAGTGGGATTTCTGCATGTCGGGAGGACCTTCTTTTCATCTCTGTTTGAGGTTCGTTAGAATGCCATATTCTCCCTCAACCAGGGATCCAAGCTCTGATTCATTTACTCATTTGAAAAAGTATTTATTGAGCCTCTGCCGTAGGCACTGGGCACATCTAGCAGTGAGTAAAGCAGTAATTTCTTGCTCCCATGAGCTTAACCTCCCAGGGGGCGAACCAGCAATAGACAAATTAATACCTGCTAGCAGGCAGCGGTGGCTGCAGGGGAGGGGGAACAGATGGCAGGGGTTGCGGTCATTGGGATGAGGATGTCAGAGCAGGGCCAGGAAGGAGTGAGCCAGGCAGGGCCCTGGGTACAGAGTTCCAGAGGAAATGGCAGTACCGAGGGCCTGAATGGGGCTTGCTCAGTGTGGGGGAGGAGCAGCAGGTGGTTGGAGTGAGGGGAGTGAGGCAGATATAAATTAGGAGTTAAAATGATTGAACTCTTAGGGATGTTTGCATGCCCCAGTTTTCACCCCTACCAGTTTACGACACCTTTCCTGTGAAATCCACCAAACTGTGTGTATTTTTGGAATTAGGAAGCCCATCTGCCGGCATGTCATTTAAAAATCGGATTAGAGCTCTTGCGAACATCTGTATTCTCTGTGACTCACTCAGTGTTTTCAGCTCTGGAAAGTTTCAGGTGTTTTCCTGCGAAGGCACGTATGGCGTGTAGATGGCGGTCTCTCACGGGCCTTGTTGGACTTTTGCAGACCTGATCTCGTTGACATGGAGAGGGTGCAGATCCAAAGTAACCGAGAGAACCTGGAACAGGCTTTCGAAGTGGCAGAAAGACTAGGGGTCACCCGTCTGCTGGATGCAGAAGGTGAGCGTTTCCTGGACTTCTGTCAGTTCAGCGCTGACCCGCTGTTTCTTCTCCTCTGGCTGTATTGTTCGGACTGAGACGTTTCTCGCCCACTCTCTTTTAGATGTGGATGTGCCCTCTCCAGATGAAAAGTCTGTGATCACTTACGTGTCTTCCATTTACGATGCCTTCCCCAAAGTCCCTGAGGGCGGAGAAGGAATCAGTGCTACGGTAAAAGAGCATCTTCCCAGGATACTTCCTGACTTTGTTTTGTTTGGGCGGGTGCATAGATCAGACTGTTTCTGGAGCACAGGGGAATTTTGAACTTTTAAACTTAGCAGACCGAATCCACATCACCTTTACCACACACACAGGCTGTCCTTCATCCCTGGAAATGAGTCTAGGTACTGCTCCTTCTGAGGTGTTCAGCCTTAAATGCCCCATTCGTCCCTCGCTGTAATCCAAGGTGATACGGTGTTTTCTCGGCCGCTGATAGCGACTTGATTAGGTATATCTGTTCTGAATATTTTTAGTAGCTTGGCTTGCAGCCTGTCTAGGTGTCAGGAAATTAATCCCATCCTGAGAGCCCTTGAGGAGTTGTGAAACTGGGACTGTGAACATTGCACTGAGCCGCTGCCTGGGCAGTTAGAGGGAAAGGATTCTGTGTGGTGGGGGTGGCCCGGGCCACCTCCTCCTGCACCTGTTTTGGGTGCTGCTACCGGGTTGTGATGGTTCCTTTCTGGCGACAGGAAGTGGACTCCAGGTGGCAGGAATACCAAAGCCGAGTGGACTCCCTCATCCCCTGGATCAAACAGCACACAATCCTGATGTCTGATAAATCTTTCCCCCAGAACCCCGTTGAACTAAAGGTAATGTCATGGACTTAGACTGTTTTTATAAATCCTTTCTAGGGGATAAGCCTTGGAGATGCTGCTGGCTTTTGGGTGAGGTGAAAAACGGGCCCCGTGGCTTGCATTCCTTCACTCATTTCCCAATATTGATTTTGTAGGCACTTTATAACCAATATATACACTTCAAAGAAACAGAAATTCTGGCCAAGGAGAGAGAGAAAGGAAGAATCGAGGAATTATATAAGTTACTAGAGGTAAGGAAGCTTAACTGTTATTGAGACCTGGGGTTTGCAGTTTGCCCAAACTGTTTGTTTCTTGAACAAATTCTCTATTCTCTCCCAACCTGCGTTGATAGCAGCAGTCATCAGATGACAGACATGGCACTGTTCTCAGGCTGGTCTTGAATTTGTGGTAAAGGGACGGCATCAGCCACTCGTGTTTTTAAGAGGACTTACTGGGAAATGGTACATATTTATTACAGACTCTTGAGTTTCATGGATGAGTTTTCCTCCTTGTCAGAGGGAAGCTGAATTTTTCCCCAGGATGGAAAGAGAGCTCTACTTAAATTTTGATTCCTAGACAATTAGAAGCTGTAGCTATGTGCATTTAATCTTGTCATAATGGGGATTACTGAGAGGACAGGAAGATTTTTAGAAAGAATAGAAAGGACGTAAGAATTTAGAGCAGGTATTCTTTACATTATGGAGGTGTTATTATTATTATTATTTGTTTGTTTTTTCCTCCTTGACTCAAGGTGAGGAACTGCTAAATATTTTATTTTACCCCCATATTAGACAATGGGAAAAACTGCTGAATGGTTGGGTAAAGTAGCCGGAAGTGATCCACGAAGGGTAAATGGAAACTGGGCCCGAGGGCATGTCTGTGTTTTCACACTGAAAGAGTATCTCTTCTAGGTGTGGATTGAATTTGGCCGCATTAAACTGCCTCAAGGTTATCACCCTAATGATGTGGAGGAGGAGTGGGGGAAGCTCATCATCGAGATGCTGGAGCGAGAGAAGTCCCTGCGGCCAGCCGTGGAGAGGTGGGCCCGCAGCTGTGGGTGGCCTGACAGCACTTCCTGGGCCGCTCTCAGCCTGGCACTTGACAGAGATGTGTGTCTTATTCTAGGCTGGAATTGCTGCTACAGATTGCAAACAAGATCCAGAATGGTGCTTTGAACTGTGAAGAGAAGCTGACACTAGCTAAGAATACACTGCAGGCCGTAAGTGGCTGCTCGTTGCTTCGTGTGCCACACTGTCCACTTCCTGCCCTCTGCTCCAATGGCCTGAGTCAACCGCTGAGGACCCCGGCCATGTCATTCCTTTCTCCTGAAATTGCAGTGGTACCTTGGCGCCCTCGCCTAGCGGGTGGGGGCAGTGGCGTGTTCCCGCTCTAACTGCCCCTTTGTTGTGTCAGGACGCTGCACACCTGGAATCGGGGCACCCCGTGCAGTGTGAGGCAGACGTCGTCATGTACATCCAGGAGTGCGAAGGTCTCATCAGGCAGCTGCAGGTGGACCTCCAGATCCTGCGGGATGAGAATTACTACCAGCTGGAAGAGCTGGCTTTTAGGTGAGCAGCGAGGGCGTCAGAGGGCTCGCTCACCACTGAGGCGCTCAGGTCGGAAGTGGATGGGAAGTCAGGCACTGGGTCATTTCACTCGGCCCTCAGAGGTCTGTCTCAGTGGGCGAACCGCCGGTATTTTGGGCAGGAACATTCTCCTGGTGGAAGACAGTTTTGCCTTATGCAGGCGCCTCCCACAAAGAACCTGCAGGATCTCCGTAGCCATCATGGTGTGTTCCAGCATCCTCACACCACAGTGCCCTGGAGAGGCGTAAGAGCACATCTGGTTTAGAAACGCTGGTGATCCTTGCACTTTGTATTTTACAGAGGGTCTTGGTTTCCTCCTGTGTAAAATGTCTTAAAGCAGGCCAACCCCTAGCCTGATGGCTAAGGGAAGCTTAATCCCACGTGGCTCATCACAGTTCAAATCTCAGTTCAAATCTCAGTCCCGACAGCTTGAAAACACACCAGGCATGTGTGCCCATGTGTACAAAATCCCGGCAGGGCAGAGAAGGGACCGTCGGGCGAACACGCCCCATTGTGTGGGTGCTTTCTCCATCTTCCTCTCTCTGTTTCCCTGTCTCTCTGACGAATATACACACCCTCTGGCAACTTAAACAAAAAATCAAAAATCACATGGCTCATTTCTGCAGAGCCGAGACTGGGGCCCACATCTCTTGTCCCTTATCCGTGGTGGTTCTGTTATGCCGTTCAGGAGTTCTATAAATAGGTATTGGTTTGCTTCCCTCTAATTAACACTGCATTTGCTTCAAAGAGGACTCTGGACTAGATGAAGATGTTAATAATATCACCTTACATTCATATGACACTTTTTCTTTTCAAAACACTCTTCCTAGTATGATCTCATTTTTATTTTTACCACATTCTTATTAAATGGGTAAGAAAGATTTTCTTTCTAAAAAGTATGTTATAGATTTAAGCTTCCTCCTTTTTTCTGTCCTTCCACCTCAGGGTCATGCGCCTGCAGGACGAGCTGGTCACCTTGCGTCTGGAGTGTACGAACCTGTACCGGAAGGGCCATTTCACTTCACTCGAATTGGCTCCCCCTTCTACTTTAACCACTACTCATTTGAAAGAACCCCTGACCAAGGCAACACACTCTTCTTCTGCCTCCTGGTTCCGAAAGCCCATGACTCGGGCTGAGCTCGTGTCCATTTCTTCCTCTGAGGATGAGGGCAGCCTCCGATTTGTGTACGAACTACTGTCGTGGGTAGAAGAGATGCAGGTGGGTGCATGTCTGATGTGCCCGTGCAGGGCACTGATGTCCACCGAATCCAGCAGCTTGTCTTAGCCGACCAGGCTCTGTGTTCTTTATGCAGAGCCCCATAATTAGTGATGCTGCCTGGGACCCAGTGCCCTTCTCTTTAAAAAAAATCTACATGAATAAAGTCAGCTCAGAGCCTTACAATCCTAGACTGAATAGCATATGCTTTTCTAATCTCATGCCTACTGGAATCTCCTGCTAAATCGTGCTCTAAGTGTGGGTGCTTATAGGAAAAAGGGTAGTATCTGTAAATCTCAGCAATCAGTCCTGACATCCCCTCCTTGGCACAAGAGTTTATCCTTCATTCTCTGTGAGTAACCTCAAATTTTACACCTGGTTGCTGTGGTCCACAATTCCGAGAGGCACCATTTGTGTGTATTCTAGGCCAGCGATTCAGATGTGCTATTCTTTATCCTTCCAGCCCCTTTGCTTTATATTAAGTTTTCCCTGCCCCCAAATGATGGATTTGCCATGTACCAATAGTAAAACTCTCCAAAGACGAGCCGTTTTCCGATTGGCCAATAGTTGATGCCATAAATGACACTAAATCTTTTTAGGTATTTCTTTCTTTTATCTGTTCTGACTATGAAATGGAGAAATTCCACAAAGGGAAATGCCTAAATGATAAAGTTAAGCATTTTCCGCCTGTGAAGACCCTCTTCTGCTCGAAAACTCAGGAATGTATCCCCATATTGCAGCAGCAGAAGGCTACCTTTGTTGCTGTAGTTGGTGAGGTTTGCTTTCCAGCTCCTTGCGGGTGGACCGTGGCATATTCTCGTGTAAGATGACATGTAATGCTGGAGATGGCTTAGATGTCCTTTGCCAAATCTCTGCCCCTAACCCCATCTAAACATTGATTCAGACCATTTTCTTTTTAAAAGTTGCTAGGGACCAGCAGTTGGCATAATGGCTATGTTGCTGGACTCCCACGTAGTTGACCGCAGTTCGAGTCCCGGACTGGTGGCTTAAAACTCACGCTGGGCATGTGTGCGTGCGTGCCCAAGATCCTGAGAGGAGAATGGAGGAGAAGGGATTGTGGCGTGGCCATCCCCTCTGGGGGGTGATTTCGTGCTTTCTCTCTCTCTCTCTCTCTCTCTCTGTCTGGCGAGCGCATGCACCCTATGGCGAAAACCTCTCCCCCCCAAAAAAAAGAAAGAAGTGCAAAAAAAAAAAAAAAAAAAAGTTGCTAGAGAGCTTATATGCTTGCCAGAGACAGAAAGCAGAAAGCATACCTCCACTGGGGCATGGTCAGGCCACAGTTCCCTTTTCCCCACTTGCCCATCCTGTAAGATTTTGTCCACACACACACACACACACACACCTGGCATGTTTTACAAATCACCAGGGCCAGGATTCGAAACTGCAGTTGGCCATGTGGGATCTGGTTCCTAGTGTATATTAACCACTGTGCCACAGGGTCAGCCCTGTTCTGCCACCTCAGCAATTAAATTATTATGTGCGTGTAATATATAGTTTTCTTTTTCAGATGAAACTGGAGCGCGCAGAGTGGGGCAATGACCTGCCCAGTGTGGAGCTGCAGCTGGAAACACAGCAACACATCCACACCAGCGTAGAAGAGCTGGGCGCAAGTGTCAAAGAAGCCAGGTTGTACGAGGTTCGTAGCATCCGGATTCCTCGCTACAGCAGGGACAGGGCAGAGTGGGCAGTGGGCCAGTATGTGCAGTGCAGCTGTCTGTAAGGGAACAGGGCCTCTGGGAAAGAACAGTAACCATGAGTAGTATTTTACAACACGTTCCTTTTTTATGCAGTCTCTTAAGTTAGTTTTTAAAAATAACCTTGTCGGATGGTATTTTTGGTAAACCCTTTTTGCTAAAAGGAAAAGTGCTACTGGAAGGTAAGGTCTGAATTAGTAAGCAGAGAATGCAGCATCCAGTCTCAGGCCCTTGGCCTCCAAAAATTCATGGTCCTTTCACTTCACTGCCTGCATCGGCAGCTGGTGTGGAGAAAGTATTCGCTCAGCCTGTCTTCTCCCTCACTTGTTATTCTATTTCCCCATTTTAAAAAGTTTTATTTATTTGTGTCATAAGTGAGACAGAGGGAGAGACAGACTGAGGAAAAAACAATCTCAACAGGGTCTTGACACCTCACTCCATCCCCGTCCTCAGGCATCCCCAGATCCTGGGCATCGCCACCCTGCATTCTCAGGGCTCTCAGGACATGAACCCCGAACCTTCTCATATAGTCAAGCCTTGCAGAGTGTTATGTTTTACTGCTGCGCTGCGTCTGGCCCCCACCTCCCATTTTTTTTTTTCTTCAAAAACGTGATTGAGGGAAACCAGCAGTTAACGTAATGGCTACGTCGCTGGACTCCCACGTGGTCGACCGCGGTTCATGTCCCGGACCCGGTTGCTTAAAAAACTCACGCCAGGCGTGTGTGCGTGCGTGCCCAAGATCCCGAGAGGAGAATGGAGGAGAAGGGATTGCGGCGTGACCATCCCCCCTGGGGGGTGATTTCTCGCTTTCTGTCTCTATGTCTCTCTCTGTCTGTCTGGCGAGCGCATGTGTCCTACAGTGAAAATCTCTCCAAAAAAAAAAAAAAAACGTGATTGAGTAGTTTGGGAATCAGGCTTAGGTTTTCAGAAGCCTCCCAGAATTGCTAGGAAAACAAGACAGTGAGAATATTCACTGTAGCTAATGTAGAACCTGCTCATTTAATGCTGCCCTAAGCTATACAGTCTGATTCTGATTTGTTGTCCAAGCTGCTGTTTTCCTTATCTGTGTGCAGATCTACTATTTACAAAATTGAAAGCATATCATTCACCAAGTCTTTCTCTGATGTATTTATTTTTCCATTTCCTTCTTATCAGAGAAAAATGTCCCAGAATTTCCATACCAGCTACGTTGAAACTCTAGGAAAGCTGGAGACACAGTACTGTAAATTGAAGGTGAGTTTTGACTAAGTCTTAGGCTTTGTTCTTCGAGAACCTGCTTTCCTCCACACAACTGTCTTCCGTAAATCAGGAAGCACATGGTTTGACACCATTTTAGTTTTCTGTGTATTATAATCTATAATTTACTGTATAGTTTGTAAATATTACAGCATTTTCTTAATCTTCTTAATGAGTCAGAAGCCACTGCTCCAGAAAGTTTTAAACAAGTAAAACCTATCCTGACTATCGTGCTTCACCAAACCTGTGGCTATACATGCTTTGAGACACCAAAACTAAAAGTTCGAGACTGCCAGAGTAGGGACCTCCCTCCTAGCTATTGTTTTCATTGTGTCTGTTAAGATAGCCACAGCAGGGCAGACCTAGGATCATTCTTTATTCAAGAAGGCCCTTAAAGGCTTTATCGGTGTTGTCTTCTACTTAGAATTGACAGTGGCTCTGGAAGTCTTGAACAAAACTTGAATGGATGGAGATGAAAAAGCAAGGCTAAATTCCCTTCCCGAATTATTCTTTCCTTTGATGTCAAATGTGCTGTCTTCTACAGATGCAAAGGCTTGCAGTCTGACTTTGTAATCCTTGCTTTGTCTAGGAAACTTCTAGCTTCCGGATGAGGCACCTTCAGAGCCTGCATAAATTCGTCTCCAGAGCTACAGCTGAGTTGATCTGGTTGAATGAGAAGGAGGAGGAGGAACTAGCATATGACTGGAGTGACAACAATCCCAATATCTCAGCCAAGAGAAATTACTTCTCTGTGAGTCTGGCACAGCACGCCTGTCATATTTATTTAATGGCGGCAGAAGGAGACAGAGGGATAGTCTGCTGAGAGCTTGACTGTGCTAGACGGAAATAGGGACCCTGCTCAGTGCATCTGTGCATGTGAGAAGTCTGTATGGAGTGAGGGTCAGTAGGGCCCTGGATTTGACTTATTTGGAATGCATTTAGAGAGACAGTGTCTTTGCAATCTGCAAATCGAGTCATTTCAGAAGAAATATACTTGTGAAGTTTATAGATTTTGGAATGAGATAGAGACCTAAGTCCAAATTTTTACTTCTGCTAACTAGTTCTATGATCTTGAGCAGGTTATTTAATCTCTTTGGACTTGTAAAATGAGACGGTGGCACCATTTCAAATGGTTGTATTAAGGTGTGAGTTTCGTAAAGTAATCTGGGCAAAGTACTTAATGTATAGCATTCCACAGGCTTCTGAATTCTTTTCGTTCATTTAATAACTCTTTGGTCTGGGGACCAACAGATGGCATAATGGTTACATTGCTGGACTCCCATGTGGCTGACCGTGGGTTTGAGTCCCGGATCTGGTGGCTTGAAACTCACGCCAGGTGCGTGTGCATGCGTGTCCAAAGTCCAAAGAAGAGAGTGGAGGAGAAGGGATTGCATCCTGGCCATCCCCACTGGGGGGTGATTTCTCACTTTCTGTATCTCTTTTTCTTTGTCTCACCAGCGAGTGTATACGCCCTATAGCAAAAATCTCTCTCCCTCTCAAAAAGCAAGAAAACAAAAAACAAAAAAAGCATTAATACTTTTTTGGTCTCATTCTCTTCATTTGTAAAATGGAAAGGATAATTCATTGGGCAATGGGACAATGCTTTTTATTCTTTAAAATGTAAACAAGTAAATAGGATTTCTTTTTTGTTAGTATATTTAGTATTTCCATACTCAGTATTTTTACTTATTTATTTTTAGTTTAGTTTAGTTTGTTTGTTTGTTTGTTTTGTTTTTTGCTATAGGGTATTCTCACTTGGACTGAGAGAGGGGAAAAGTGAGAAATCATCCCTGGGAAGGGGTTGGGGGAGGTGGGAGTTGGCCACGCTGCAATCCTTCTCCATTCTCCTCATAGGATTTTAGGTGTATGTGCATGTGCACCCAGCATGTTTTTCAAGCTGCTGGGTCCAGGACTCTAACTCTGGAGTCAACTAACCAGGGGGTCTAGCACCTTAACTACCATATCTCCTGCTGGCCCCATATTCAGAATATTTGTAAGGATTTGTAAACCCTATGCAATAGGGAGCCTTTTTGCTAATACTCACTTTAGATATTTTAATTCTATTAATTTAGCATTGTTAAAAAAAACGAGCTTCTCCTCATTGGAGAATAGCATGTAATCCTTTTTATAATGCCAGAGGGCATGTGCACCAGCTGGGGGAGAGAGAGCCAACGGGGTCTGATCACACCACTGAATCACCTTTCCTCCGTTTTCCTTTCCCGTCAGGATTTGGGGCACATAAGCACATGTCTCTGGTGTGGTTTTCAAGCCACTGGGGTTAGGATTCAGACTATGGTTGGTCATGTGGGCTCTGCCTCCCGTGCACAGCACTGTGCTAAGACCTGTCTGGCATGTGATTCTCTGCAGTCAAGAAGAAAGAATAGGCAGTGTAATTCAGCAGACAGCTCTCTGTATGAGGGTAAAAGTAGGCTGCGGTAGACTAGATGGACGCTTTGATGCTCTGAAAGCGTCGAGGAGAAGAGATAAGTCTGATACTAAGGGTCGGTACCCAGCCTCACAGAAGAGCTGGCGTTTGAGTCAGATCTTGTAGTCGTAGAACTTAGAGTCAAAAGAGGGCACTGTAGGCTGAGGCCCAGTGTGAGCAAAGCCAGCCCGCCACGGTACTGGTCTCCAGTGTGCCCCGCATGGGTGAGGCCAGCACGAACGGTCCAGCGTGGGGCAGGTCAAACCTGCAGCCAGTCGTGTCCTTTTCCTGCGTCCAGTGCTCATGCCGTGCTCCCCCACTTTACTCGGGCCTAGCTCAGGCTCCATGTCCTTTGTGAGTCATTTTCCAGTCAGTCTGTCATTTTTGCCCATCTCTGAGATTCTGTGGCATGTGCCTTTTATACATCTGATTTGGGCACCCGCCTGTGTGGTACATTTCCTTTTTTTTTTTTTTTTTGAGAGATTTTTGCTATAGGGCGCGTGCGCTCGCCAGACAGAGAGAGACAACGAGACAGAAAGCGAGAAATCACCCCCCAGGAGGGATGGTCACGCCGCAATCCCTTCTCCTCCATTCTCCTCTCGGGATCTTGGGCATGCACGCCCACGTGACTGGCGTGAGTTTTAAGCCACTGGGTCCGGGACGCGAACCGTGGTCGACTACGTGGGAGTCCAGCAACATAGCCATTACACTAACTGCTGGTTCCCTGTGGTACATTTTTTTACAGTGGGGCAGAGAACACAGCTTCTTCGTCGTTGCCACCCCTGCCCTTAATAGCACTTATTTCATAAAGCTGAATTCAATTTTCAGGAGTTGACAATGGAACTGGAGGAGAAACAGGACGTGTTTCGATCTCTGCAGGACACAGCGGAGCTTCTGTCACTGGAGAACCACCCAGCCAAGCAGACAGTGGAGGTATGTGACTTGAGAATGTGGGCGGTCAAACGCTCAGGTGGTTGTTATGAAAACATTCAGGTGAGAGGTTTGATCTGCCCCACACCTGGAGGAAGTAGTGGGGATCATCTATCTGGGCTCTTCTCCGGTTTCGCCCAGACTATTCTCACAGCCCGCAAAAGCCTGTGAACAGCTGTTGTTTTTTTTGTTTGGTTTTTAGAATTATTTGATCTTTATTTTACTTATTATTATTATTTTTCAACTTGACTAGAGAGAGTCGGAGAGAGAAAGAGCAAAAGTGAGAAAGCAAGCCACCAGGTTCGGGACTCAAACCCTGGTCAGCCATGTGAGAGAGAGTCCAGTACCTTAGCTACTATGCCACCCACCGGCCACATCTGTGTAGTTTTATTCTCTAGAGAGAATACTAAGAGAAACAGTAGAAGGGACATTGACTCCTGACTTCACCTGGACCATACTTCAAATCATTGTCCAGGCAGAGCTTACCTCTTGGTGGATCGTTTACCCAGAAAGAGAAACCATGGAGGAAGCCAGGAAGGGTTTGTTTATACCTGGGTTTTCTGGCCAGATCATTTGGTTTCAAATGAATGTGGAAAAAGCTCTTTCCTATGTAACCCCTTCTAACAAAACCATGTTGGATAAAAGACAAGCCTTTTTCTCGTGGGAATTATTGAGCAGACACCAGTCGAGTGTCTCCGTGGCACTTCTGTTGCTTCTCTGTCATTAGTAGAATGATCCTTGGACGAGAGCATTGCGCGTGTAACACTGGGTCTTAGACTCACGCCCCTCTGTGTGCTCGGCTGTTGCAGGCTTACAGTGCTGCCGTCCAGTCCCAGCTGCAGTGGATGAGGCAGCTGTGCTTGTGTGTAGAGCAGCACGTGAAAGAGAATTCTGCTTACTTTCAGGTATGGTGGCCTCGTGTGTGTGTGTGTGTGTGCGTGTGTGTATGTGCGTGGACGTGTGTGCATTTGTGCATCTCTGTTTTGTTTGTTTGCTTGTTTTTTAGCCAGCTATAAGGTGTGTGTCTTGCTGCAGAGAGACAGAGGGAGGGGCGTGAGAAATCACCTCCTAGAGGGAATGGCCATCCTATAGTCCCTTCTCCTCCATTTTTCTCTTGGAGTTTTGGGCACACATGTACACGCACCTGGCACGTTATCAAGCCACTGGGTCTTAGACTCAGCGCAGTCAACCAGGTGGGATCCAGCCACCTTAACCATCATGCCACTGGCTGGCTCGTGTGTGTGCAGTTTTGCGTGTGCATGTAAGTGTACACGTGGTGAAGGTGAGGTCAGCCTTCACTGTGTAAACCACCACACCAGTACCTAGTTGGTTACAGCACTCGTTAGTTAGCTCATGAGCCTGTGGGTTGGCAGTTTGGGCTGGGCTCGGCTGAGTGGTTCTCATCTTGCCTGTCATCAGCATTACGGCCGACAGCTGACTGGCTCCAAATGGTGGCACTTGCCTGTTTGACAGTTGGTGGGTGACAGGTAGAAGACTAGAGGTCTCTAGCATCCAGCCACCTTTATCATGAAGTGGGTGTGTGCCACAGCAGCAGTAAGAGCCAGTGCTGGTGTACAAGCACGTTTTCTCTGCCCCTGTCACATTTATTTACAGGCAGCTGGCAAAGCAAGCTCCAAGGGGAGGAGAAAGAGCCTCCACCTTTTTGAAAATAATTGGCCAGAAGGTGCATGCATTTGCCGGAGTGAGGCAGAGGGAGAGCGAGAGCGCAGCCCTGTGGGGTTTGTCCTCCATTTACCACTCGTTTGGGGATTTGGGGCACACAGTGGCCATGTGCACACACCTGGCCTGTTTTTCAAATTGCCCAGTCCAGGACTTGAGCCACATTGTTGGCCATGTGGGATCCAGCCTCCTTAACCGCCAAGCCACAGGCTGGCCCAGCTCTACCTCTCAATGAGAGGAACTGTAAAATACTGGGACCCCTGCCCCCAATTAATCACAAGTGGAAGAACATACTGCTGTTCTTCATGTGAGAGTGGGAGGGTGATAGAAACTAACTTTTGTTTAGTTTTGCCCTGAACTAAGGCATTTCTGTGATCATTTTGTAATTATATCAATGAATGAAAAAATCTGATCACTCAAGCTCCAGGCTTTTCATGAGCGTCACCTCATAAGTGCTTGTCAGAGGTCAACAGGCAGAGCAGCGATTTCCAACGGCTGACTTTTCTAGTGAATTAGTAGGTCTTGTGGTCATCAGTGCCATTTTACTGGCCTAGTGTTGTAAGCTCTCTGGTTTGTACTTCTCTGGCCTTTATTGTGAACCACGTTGCTCGGCACAGTCAGCTCGCATCTGTGCCCTGATGTGTTAGCACGAGGACCCCTCCCTTGTATTCCCACAGTTCTTCAGTGATGCTCGAGACCTAGAGTCATTCTTGAGGAACCTGCAAGAGTCCATCAAGCGAAAATATTCCTGTGACCACAACACCAGCTTATCCCGCCTTGAGGACTTGCTCCAGGACTCCATGGTGGGTGTTGGATCAGTGGGGTGATAACTTCTGAAAAACAGTAACCCTGTCAGCCGCTGCTGTTTATATCCTTGAAAGCTCCAGGGCAGTGGGTCATTGTTACAGTAAAGCTTAGCTCACATTCAAATGCAGCGTAATCTGATTTATTCAGTTCTTCCCTTTTTTCTTTTCTAAGAAGTTGCTAGTAACGTTTCTTTGGGTGTGGTCCTGAGGTAGAGGCCAGGCCATGTCCCGAGTCACTTAGTCCCCGTGATAGTCTCTTTGCTTTGTTCCTATTTCAATGTGATATCAGAGCCAAAGATGAGGTGCAGAGTGTGAAAAATAAGGTCGAAGGGGATTTGATTTATGCAAAGAGAATTCAAAAGAAAAAGAAAAAGAAATACACCTGAGTCAAATTTTTCCTCCTCAGTAATTTTCTTATGCTATTAGAAGATTGATTTTAACTAAGGCCAACATCAGAACCTTACTTCAATGTAATGCCGTATTTGTCTAGTTCATTTGTATAGCAATATCAACTTTACAAAAATAGTTTTGCATCCAGCATTTAATTCAAATCAATTGTATATTTATTTTCTACAACAAATTACTTCTCAGGAGTGCTAGTTATAACACCAGCTGCAGGACAGCTTAGGTTTATTGAGCGTGCATTACACATAGTTGGCAAGACAGGGCTCAAGCTACATTTCAAATCAAGATAGAAATGTGTATGCAATAGGCAGATTGCCTTTCCTATGCAAGAAGTAAGGGAATTCTCATATTTTAATGAGAAATTATAGATAAGAGAACCAGAATAACCCGACTAAACAGTTCATTTACTTGGTGGGTAAGATTTATGTATTTGTCAGCATCAGTTGATTTTTTTTGTAAATCAGTGAATAGGTTTACCTTCAGTAGTTAACCTGGGTAAATAGTCTGTTAATTTTATTAATTGGAATGAAGGATATTGTATCTCAAATGTCTCTGTTGGAGGTACTGTGAGCATGAAGGGGGAATACAATCCGTGGCTGTGATCTCCTCCCTCCCACAGAGTACTTGCTGTCTTAGGGTAACTCTTCTGCAATTGTCCTATCTTCTCTTCTCGAGGGTCGCTGCTCTGTTCCCTCCTCTCCAGGTCAGGGGCATCGGGTTGGCGGAGTCATCGGGGCATGAAGTCACCTGGGTCTGCTCCTCAGCTTGTCCGTCAGGTTCGGGAGCATCTGTCCTGGCTTCTGGTTCTTTTCAGAGCTTTTATCACGCTGAGCACTTGGTCTCTGGAGCTTGAGATGTCTGGCTGTGGGTTAGACAGAAATTGACATCTTTATTGCAAGGAGACTGGAATGGGTAGACCAGCTCTCAAGCATGGAATGTGGCTGTCTCCCTGATTGATTCCATTCCTCTTTCTTAACTAAAAGTTAAAGTTGTATTTCTTCCAATCATGCTCCCGGGGACAGGCACAGGTAGTTTGTTTAAGCATTTCTTTTTCTTTACTTGCATATTCTTAATTCTTTAATGACATTTCTTAACATTATTAACTCTTTGCTTTCATCACATCTGCATTCATCCTATGAAAGCCCTCTTCTGGGGACTTTTATACCTCAAAATGGGCCTGAAACATCCTGGTTAATAAATGAAGGTTATCTTTTGCTCTCTAATGTAATTAATAGTAGATTGCTACCAATTGTGTTGACCAGAGGTTCATTAACTTTTAAGATAATTGGGTTTTCAGAGATTTGAGAATTTTAATTTTGCATGAAACTTCTTTCAAACCAATCAAATCTACATGAATATAGCCCAGCAAGATAATAAAAGGTAAACCCTAAATCATTTATCATGATGTCTTCACCAACAGCATTGGTTTATAAATTGTTGGCTGAAGAGCTAAGATCTTTTCTAGAAAGCTTAATGCAAGAGTGTGAAATATTTATAGTAGAGCTTAGGAGATACATTTATTGTAAAAAATTTAAATAGTTTAACTCTAGCATCTCCTAAGTAGAAAGGGAAAAAAAAAGAAAACTGGTTTATACTAATGAGAAATTGAATAATAATAATAACCTGGTTATTATTATTATTGTTTTTCACTTCTATGTTCTCGGAGTCATATTTGGGGAAATCTTTTATTAGCTATATGGTTGTATCTGGCAGCTAGAAGTTTGTTTTTTGTTTCTTTTCTTGCATGTGGCTTTATGGTTCATGGAAAAGGGCACAGGGAGGAAGTTGGAAATGTTAAGCATAGAAGTGCTTGGTAGAAGACAGACATATTCTCTCTTTCTTTATCCTTGTCTAAATCGTTATCTAAGACGGCTCCACCAAGGATCCCTGCTTAAATGAGAACTGACATTCTCTGAGGGAGTGGAGCGCTCAGTTTTCTTTGCTGACTTAGTCACCCTGAGTAGCAACATTAATGTCTTTTTGTTTTTCTTCTCATTTTGTAGGATGAAAAGGAGCAGCTTATACAGTCCAAGAGTTCCGTTGCCAGTCTTGTCGGGAGATCAAAAACCATTGTTCAACTGAAACCACGCAGCCCTGACCATGTGCTAAAGAGTACCATTTCCGTTAAGGCCATCTGTGACTATCGGCAAATCGAGGTGAGGGGGTGGAAAGGGTATCTCTGGGCTCCAGAGGGAAGACAGAGAGAAGGGAAGACTTCAGTTAGGGTTGTGATGACAAGGAAAGATGAAATTACCACGCCACAATCCCTTCTCATCCATTCTCCTCTTGAGATCTTGGACACGCGCACACACACATGCCCAGCGTGAGTTTAAGCCACCGGGTCCAAGACTCAAACCATGGTCAGTTATGTGGAAGTTCAGCAATGTAACCATTATGCCATCTGCTGACCCCAAATTACAGAGTTTTTAAAATTATAATTTAAGCATGCTCAAATCTCTGTCATTTAAAAAAAGAAGTCTGAACTCTAGAATCTTCTCTTGAGATCTTGGACACGCGCACACACACATGCCCAGCGTGAGTTTAAGCCACCGGGTCCAAGACTCAAACCATGGTCAGTTATGTGGAAGTTCAGCAATGTAACCATTATGCCATCTGCTGACCCCAAATTACAGAGTTTTTAAAATTATAATTTAAGCATGCTCAAATCTCTGTCATTTAAAAAAAGAAGTCTGAACTCTAGAATCTTGACCCTGCCTCAGAGATCGGTGTCATCCTCCACCCAGTTGCCTGAGTGTTGGTGGACACAGCCATTTGTAGGACCTGGAAGCTATCCTGGACTGCCCCACCCCACCCCTGCTGATCCCCCAGAGCTAGAAGCTCCACCAAGTTGGTACTAACCTGTAAACAGCCTTTAAATGCACTTCTTCCTGTCCCTGCGGCTGCCGTCGATTCAGTCCGTCTCTCTGATTTGGATTATCGTGTCAGCCTGTCCATTCAGTGCTTTCTTTATCCTCCCATCAGCATGATGCTCCTCTGCTCTGTCTCACAGCAAACCTCATCGTTCTCCAGAAAAAAGTCTAAACTCCTTCAGGTGGCTTGAAAGTCCTAAATAGTCTGTCTTTCCCTCTCTAATAAAGACTGGGCCATTTTTCCCTGTGAGACTGTATTTTCCTTGTTGTTTTATGACTGTTTACCCTACGAGGACATGTGGGATCTAGGCCATATTTGTCTGTTTACCTTTGTACGATTTTTGTCTCTAGTGGCCTGTCACTGAGCAGACACTTAGTAAATGTTTGTTATATAAAAAGATAAATGAGAGGCCAGCAGGTGGCTTGGTAGTTAGACCCCCACATGGCCAACCGAGGTTCGAGTCCTAGATCTAGGTGCTTGAAAATCAAGCCAGGCGCTTGTGCATGCATGCCCAAAACCCTGCGAGAAGAATGGAGAAGGGATTGCAGCATGGCCATCCTCCCTGGGAGGTGATTTCTCACTTTCCCTCTCTGATTCTCTCCAATGAGCGTGCGCACTCGATGGCAAAAAACTAAGAAAGAGAAAAGATAAATGAATAAAAGATTAGGGCTACACTTTTCTGCCTCTCAATATTTCTGTTTATGAAGTAGGGCTCATGGTTTTAACTGCTTGTCTCAAGAGAAAGAATCAATGATTCCAAAACGCTTAAAATATTTCCACAGGCTTGGGTAGGATAAGAATGGAGGAGGAAGTGGCATGAAAGCAATGTTGTGGTTATTCATATCTCGCTCATTTTCACTCTGACAGTTCTTACTGTAGAGATTGCTCTTCTGAGTCCTATCATCTCCTTGTCACTCTCACATACTAAGTTAATTGGCACGTGCAAGCACCTCATAAACATTGGTTTCTATGATTTGTTTGATGTCACAACATTTCCCATACTGTAGATTTATACCCATTGTTTTTTGCCCAAATCAGGAGCCCTCAGTAAGTGATGGCCTGTCGTCTCCCAAGCAGTTTCTTAAGGATTTCATAGCCTTGCATCAGGCACCTGGCAATGATGGGTTGTTGGCTTATCCCTTAGCAGTAACTTGGATTTGTCTCTGTAGATCACTGTTTGCAAGAATGACGAGTGTGTGCTGGAAGATAATTCTCAGAGAACCAAGTGGAAGGTGATCAGCCCCACGGGGAATGAGGCGATGGTGCCATCAGTCTGCTTCCTCATTCCTCCACCGAACAAGGATGCCATTGAGATGGCCGGCAGGTAACTGCTCCGGGCCACGCAGTGCTGCCACCATGGCTCTTCAGCTGATGGAGGGTTGAGCCGGCATGGGATCGCCTTGAGCAGAGAGGCATTGCAGCGGTTCTGGGAAGGACTTCCTGTTAGGGACTTCACGGTGCCTACAGCCGGCCCTGGAGAGGTTCTCCCGTACAGTTCATTCAGTCACGTTTCTTTTTTAAAGAATTCTCCAGTTGACGCTCAGAAGACTGATTTTTGTAATGACAGTTAATTTTCTTTCATTTATATTTTATTAAAGGAATGGCGTACGTATTTTAGAAAGTCAGATTATACCACTCACAGAGTTCCACTTCCTAGACTCAACTGCTTTAGCACATTGTTCTAGGTTTTAACTCCAAGTTTCTCAAGAATGTGGTTCCCCCCCTTGCCATTTCCTGATTTTTTTTCTACTTTGAAAATTACCTATGAACTTCTTACTCTAGGAAGTTAACAGCTATGGTACCCTAACAGAGTGCCCCCGGGGGATAGCCACACTGCAGTACTTCTTCCTCCACCCTCTTTTTTGGGATTTTGAGCACACACATACACATGCCCAGCATGGTTTTCAAGCCACGAGGTCAGGACTTGAACCGTGTAGTTGGCCACGTGGGGTCCAACTGCCTGAACCACTGCACTGCCTGCCGGCTCTTCAGATCACCTTTTAAGCATTGATGTAATTTTCCAGCACTTCCCAGTGGGATTATTTCATGTGTACTTTTGCTATTATTACTCTCTCTACTTAGTTTTTTTCCCCTGTAATCATTATTTTCAGAGAGCATTTATGAGCGTGCTGAATATGTGCTCACATAATGCGTAATAGCGTAGCAAACCTAAATTGAGATCTTAATTTAGTTCTGTGGATTCTTGTTAGTATTTGCTTTTTTTGCCTTTTTCTGGTCAACATGTAAACTCAATTCTGCTGAGGCTGTTGTGTTTTTTCTTAGAAGAGCTCTAATGTGAATCTCAAGTCCTAAAGGAGCTATAGCCAGGTTCTGTGTATTTCTAGGGTGGAACAATCTTATCAGAAGGTGATGGCCCTTTGGCACCAGCTACATGTTAACACCAAAAGCCTTATTTCCTGGAATTATCTGCGGAAGGATCTTGACCTTGTACAGACCTGGAACCTAGAAAAGGTACTTTTGGAAACTTGACCGCAGGCTTATTTATATCCTCTTGCCAAGTTTTTTTCATTACTGGGAGGCTTCTCACCCAGATGGAGTAAAGCAGAGTCAGGAATACTGTTTCAGAGTCAGGAACTGAGGGTCTGACAGACTGGATACAGCAGAATGGTTAAGGAAATTCCTGATGAAAGTAATTTGGTTCTAGACAAAGTGAGAAAGTTGCAGGTCTCTTCTCATTCTACAGAATAAGTATCTTTTTTTGCCTAAGAGTGGGTGAATTCCGGTGAAATAACACTTAAAAAGACTTCTGTCCGACGGGACACCAAGGGTACTTCTGGGGCAGTGTTAGTATTCTGTTCCTTGATCTGAACGTTGGTTATATGGATAAATCAAATTGCGAAAATCAACAGGTCCACACTGACGGTTTATGTGCTATTATGTATGTATGTTAGACGTCAATAAAAAGGAGAGAGTGTTATGTCCTCATTCTACTTCAATTTCTTTGGGCATTTTCTCTCTAGCTCCGATCCTTGGCACCAGGGGAATGCCATCAGGTTATGAAGAGCCTCCAAGCGCACTATGAAGATTTCGTGCAGGACAGTCGCGACTGTGTGCTCTTCTCGGTGGCTGATCGCTTGCGTTTGGAAGAGGAGGTGGAATCTTGTAAATCCCACTTCCAGCACCTGATGAAATCCATGGAGAACGGTGTGTTTGCCGGGAAGGGGGAGAGAGAATAATGGAATGAGAGCCTGGCGCGCGCTGCCAGGCCCTTCATGGAAACTAGAAAGTAGCACCGCTGCCCTTTCCCATTTGATTTGCTAAAACCTTGAGGGAGAGAAAAGTCTATAGAGATGAATTCTCAAAGTAAGATCATGGCTGAAGAGGCCTGCTGACGATTCGTTACTGCTAATCATCTTACCACCTTTTCTTGTGGATGTAACATGTTCAGATCCTTAAAGATCAGTGCATAATGCATGCAATTTATCCCCAAGTAATGCCTTGCTTTTATCAGTGAGAGATCGGGTCTGCTGGAGCCAGTGGTGCCCTCTGCTTGAGGGTAGCTCAGTTGTCTGAGTTTGCTGGAGTCTGGTATGGGGCTTAATGCTCTTCTGCGCTTGTGCATTCACAGAGGACAAAGAGGAGACTGTGGCCAAGACGTACATTTCAGAGCTCAAGAATATCCGACTGCATCTGGAGGAATGCGAACAGAGGCTGGTCAAACGAATTCAGTCCCCAGCCAGTTCTAGGACTGACAAGGATGCCTGGCATGACAGTGCACTGAGGATTGCAGAACAGGAGGTACGTCCTTGGAGGAGATGGTGCTGTGTCACACGTACACACGCACCAGGGACTCACAGCATCTCTACCAATAGCACAGGAGTTGCTTTATCTTTCTACATTCGTAACGCTCATACCCCAGACTGGAAAATCGGTTTCCTCTTATACGCAATATACTTTTTGCCTAGTCCTAGCACTTACAGATAGTAGTTTCTGAATTACTCACTCATACTACTACAGTAAACAAACCAACTAAACTGGAGTTCAACATTTATTTACTGTTTTGTTTGTCATTAGCCTGAAGGTGTATCTTGAGTCCAAATACCATCTTCAGAAATTGCATGCTTTCTTGTCCCTTCTCCTCTTTCAATGTGATTGTGTTATTTGTTTGAAATATAGTTAGGCTCATTTATTTCTGTGTATGTTCTGTTTTGGGGCTCTACCCCATCCTTCTTTATAAGAACGCAAAGCAGAGGCCAGCAGGTGACATGATAGTTAAGGCACCGGGCTGCCACATGACTGACTGTGGTTCAAGTCCCAGACCTGGCAGCTTGCTTTCTCTCTTATTATCTCTCTGTCTTTCTGTCTCCCTGTCCCAGTTCTTTTTTTTGGGGGGGGAGGGGAAGAGGTTTTTGCTATAGGGCGCGTGCACTCGCCAGACAGACAGAGAGAGACATAGAGACAGAAAGCGAGAAATCTGGGGGGTGCAGGGGGGATGGTCACGCTGCAATTCCTTCTCCTCCATTCTCCTCTCGGGATCTTGGGCACGCACACACATGCACCCGGCGTGAGTTTTAAGCCACCGGGTCCGGGATGCTAACTGCGGTCAACTACATGGGAGTCCAGCGACATAGCCATTACGCTAACTGCTGGTTCCCTCCCTGTCCCAGTTCTGATGAGCACACATGACCTATAGCAAAATTCAAAATAATAACAATAATAATTCTGGTGAGCACACATGGCCTCTAGCAAAATTTTAAAAAAATTAATAAACAAGGGGACCAGCAGTTGGCATAATGGCTATGTAGCTGGACTCCCATGTAGTTAACCACATTTCAAGTCCCAGAACCCTGGGCTTAAACTCACACTGGGTGCGTGGCATGCGTGCCCAAGATCCCAAGAGGGCAATGGAGGAGAAGGGATTGCAACATGGCCATCCCCCCGGGGGGTGATTTCTCGCTTTCTGTCTCTCTCTGTCTTTCTGGTGAGTGCACGCGCCCTATAGCAAAAAAGCTCTCCACAAAAAAAAAAAAAAAAAAAAAAAAGCAATCAAATAAAATAAAA